AATAAAGTATAGATAATAATTATTCTAAACTCATGCTTGTATTTTTTTAAAATACTAAGCATTATAATTTGAAAGTCTCTGGAGTTGAAAGTGTCTGAAGGCCCCATTTGGCCAAGGATGTCAGATTCTATGTCTTTGATTTATGGGATGAAAGTTGGTTTTACATAGAGATAGCATCTCTAATCATGGATAGATTACATGATTGGGAAAAAACTCCTTTCTGGAGTTCTACACATTTTGTATAGAATCTTCTTAGGTAGCAAAGTATATGAATGCCTTCCTCCCTCAAGGTCAGCACAAAGCAAAGGATGGGAGAAAATAGGCAGTGATTTCATCCTTACTCTCCCTCTTTCATGAAAGATTTATGTTTTTAATCAAGATAAAATCCAATCCCACAAGGTTGATTAATGAAAAGGGGAGTGGGAGTGGATGTGTGGGTCTTTGGTCATCCTGATGTTATCTTCTAAATATTTCCCAGCTTCTTATTATACTTTATGTAGAAGATAGATATTGAAACATAATTTTCCCTCATGAGTTCCAAATAACATGGGAATAAAGGAAATAAAATAAGTTATTTCACCTGCTTTAACTTTGGTTTACAACAATGAACTTTCATTTAAAAGTAAAACAAACATTAGTAAATTACATTGGCATGTCCTGTTTGATTTGGCCCCAATTTGATCTTTTGTTTGCTTTGCATTACTCATGACCAGCATTATGTTCTTTGGCTCTTGGGCAGCATTATCGTCTAAATGCTTTCATTTTGTTAGTTATTATCTACAGCAAGCATCACAGTCATGGTGGCCATAGGTGGTAGAAATTATAGAATGCAGTTGGATATGAGAGTCTTGGCTTATCATTTTCTCCATGCATTTGCTCTGAGTAGACACAAATAGTTTGATCTAAATTTCTTCCTACAACTTCAAACAGTATTCATTGCATTGGTGACTAGTTAATAGAAACATAGGTATAGTGACTGGTAGTCAACCCTGAGAAACTGGGCTGTTCTCTTGCAAAGATCTAGAAGTTTTAACTACATAATTAATTCCATTGTTTCTTTTCTTTAGTGTATATTTTTAAATATTTTTTTCATTCTGCCTTTATTGTTTTACTTTATAAGTAACTCAAGGCAGTAAACATAGATAATATTCCTTCTTCCCAGGTTCCCCATAACAACAACCCTGTGTGGTGAGTTTACAGAGAGTGACTGGCCCAAAGTCCCTTAGCTGATTTTCATGCCTAAGCAGGGATGGGATTCAGCCGGTTCAGACTGATTCAGACAAACCAGATGTTATTTGTAATCTGGTTTGCCAAACCGGTAGTTACAAGGACTAGCTGACCCCGCCCACCCCTTCCCTCCCAGGAGTCTCCACGTGTCCCATTCATCATGCCAGGAAAGTGAAGAGCTGGTGCAGAGGCTCTTGGAGGGCAAAACATGGGCCCATTTCCAGCCTCCGAAGAGCCTTCAGAGCCTGGAGGAGGTCATTTTTGCCCTCCCGGAGGCTGAAAAAAGCCCCTGGAGCCTGGGGAGGGAGAAAATGCTCCCCTGCCTCCGTGGTGCAGGAAGCTGACTAGGCCACACCCCAATGGCCACGCCCATCCAGCAACTGGGCAGAGAACTGGTTGCTAAACTTTTTCAATCCCAGCTCTATGCCTAAGCACCTTTATCATTTCACCAAACTGGTTCCCTTTTTTATTTACACAACAAAATCCTAGTCATCTAGTTACTTGCAAGATTAGGGTCTCAGATAGTTCTTTGCATGGAATTATTTGTATTTCCATGTATGCATGGAAATTGATTACAAAATGCTGCATGTTGTTTTCAGTGATTACATTGTTTCTTCTGTGATACCCGTTTTAAAATATTTTGTTGGAATTTTCTACTGGTAGCACTTGTGTTTCAATAAAGTGTAGAGATGAAAATAATAGGAGATATACATAATTCAATTATTTAATGTTGGAAGATCAGATTCCATGCTTTCTTTTCTCCCTTGAACATCTAGAATATGCACTCAAGTTATATAGATTTTTGCTTTCATTCATAATATAATTGAATAAAGTGCCCAAAAAGGTAGTTTCCTTGGGTTATTGGTTGGCCTTGTTAATTAGGACAAGCATTGTTTTCATAGCTTTCCTACCACCACCAAAAAAGTAGGTCTCTGCCTGCCTTTCCAATAGAAGAGCAATTAGAGATGATCTAGGTTGGACATTATAGGGAATTGGAAAGAAAGCATACCTAGTTTCTGATTGGCCAAATAAATAATGCATGCCTTTCTTGTGAAGTACTTGGCCGCTGACTAATTAGCCAAGGAGGCCTCTTGAGAGCTTTACAACCAAACACTTGTCAGGAATCCCAGCTGGAGTAAGAACTGCTGGCTAATTGCTGGAATGAATTTTCATACTCTACCTCTTCAGCCTCAAAGGGAGGAGGGCTAGTCATTTATTCCACTTGCCTAAGAACTATCAGCATGATTATTTTAGCTTGTCAAGATAGCTATCCCATAAGGAGATGGTGATTCATTTCAGGATTCAAAAGACATATATTTGTTGCCAAATTATAAATGACTAATAATCACATGGCAGCTATACATTTTTTTCCACTAAATTTTGGTGGCTTTCTATGCCAGTTCCTTTTGCTGATTTTTAACAATATTGTGGACTTAATATGTGAATATTTAATAATTGAACAAACAATAGTTGAATTTGCTTTCCGAAAATAAAGAATATAGCTAGTTTCTGAGAAGTTAAGAATGAGGAAGTAGTTGGTCCTCTACAGTGAAATGTAGTGATATTGAAAATGTTCCCTCTTAGATTGAAATACTGAGATTTCATGCTACCACTTTTCTGTAACAAGATGGGATCTAGAATAAATAAAGCTAAAGAGAGAATCCTGTTCTACTTAACATGTTGTGGGACATGTTGTCCCAGCAACACTTATGATTGGGCATGCTTAATGGGGCTGCTGGGAATTTAAGTTCAGCATTTGGAGTATTGTGGGTTGTTTGCTGATTCAGGTGAACTGAGAAAATGAAGTCTAACAATGTTCTTATTTCATGATTCGTGTATGTTAATTATGCCACATACTCATCAAAATAGTTTCTTCAACCTGAAGCTCTTTAGAATTGTTGGAACTATTTGCTAGAATTATCAACTGGTGTTCTTACCCCCCCCCCCTCCGGCCTGTGAGTAACGCAGACACTGCCCAGGGTCCTCCACATCTTCCTTAGCAGACACATAGGGTTCCTCGCTATCCAAGTCTATCAGCAGCTCAGAGGGATCCTGCTGGGCCACAACACATAGGACTGGGTTCTACATATACAGTTAGACAGACTATAAATTGTATATCATAATTTTATTATCTGATTTCATTCATGTTAAAGCTTTTTTCAGGAGTACCGTATTTTCACCCATATAACCCGCGGGTTATATG